GATCTATTCAACACATAGATGAACAACTTTCATTCTTTAAGGTTGACCCAAAAATGACCCTAAAGTCCTCAAATAATTCACACAAAACTCGGGCAGAATATAGTCCTTAAAACACTGATTTTGCATATTTGATTTCTTTAATAATTAAACCATTAATCTTAAGCACAATAACTTTAATTTAACATAAATCACATATTTCAAGCATTAATTTCTCATGATGAAATGATAATTATACTTACTCTTAATATACATATATATAGAATTATTCTAATACACGTCGCGTTACGGATAAAGGTTTTTACGGGGGTTACAAGTCATGCATAGTTTACGTTAATACTCTTGAATCATATGCTACACCTTTCCATCCAGCCCAAACAAAATAAAAATCATATCAAAATCACATATTGCAAGAATATTTTGATAGCATTCTCCTCGTCCTCTCCCTCCACATGGGACTTATTGGTTAGATGATATAATAACACGAATTAATGCCCCATCAAGGGCACCTACATCACCTTATAAATAAATAAAAAAATTAGTTAATTTTAAAATACACAAACCAATAAATTTGAAAATAAAAATTTAAATGTATAACATGAAATACTTGGCGAAGTCGATGATAATTTTGAACTTGACTTAAATTTGTGTAAAATGTAGTAGGTACAACCATTTATTTTGCAAACTTTAACATTGCTCGCAACACTTCATAGAAATAGTAATGCACTTTTTGAGTTGAATGATTAAATATTCGTTTCATAGCATGATTTTAAAAATTTTGACTTAAAGTTATAAAAACATTGTCAATTTTTCTTCAATCTTAATATAACGACTATCTCTCGGTCATCCTTTTTGTTTGAAATAATCACATAAATTTGAGAATGCTTTTTTTTTTTTCATTCTCAACATTTCCTAACGAGTGAGCTAGATTTCCATGGAGGATCTCTAGCATATATTCATGTCTTTCAAGAGCCAAATTTGTATTTGGTCATCTTTTAATACGTCTTCTATTAATCCTTTTCATTATAAGAAGCAACACAATAATCCTTATACTCTTTTTTTGCCTATCTATCAACATGCTGTGAATTTTTTTTAAAAAAAGCAAAAGCATGTATAAAAAAATTGACGATAAATCTAATTAAAATAAAGATATTCAAATTGGAGTACTTTTATTCAAACTATAATTCTTATGAAAATTCTAGACAATCAAAATGAAAAAAATTATTTTAACATACTAAACATAAATCTTACGAAAAAAATATTCAATTAAAACAATGCTAACTTTTTAGCAACCATTTTGATCCATCTAATTTCGACTTCCTCTAGCTTTTGAGAAAGATTTATCCATTGCTTTCGATATGCTTTGCTTTCACAAAAGATAGTACATGCAGCTATATATAAAGGGTTATCCATTCCTAAAGTCTCTATCTCATCTAACTTCTTATTGCACCATTCTATACTAGGTCCATCGGACCCTTTCGGTGTTTTCGGTATTGCCACCAAATGATCATCAATGTCACCATCCTTATTCTTCTTCGATGTTTTTCGGGTTTTTTTATTTCATCACTTGGAGTTGAAAATGGAGCTAAAGAATTAGACTCCAAATCAATAAATTCTTTCAAATTTGTTCCAATTGATTCAGCTTGGCATAGAAGAACCAGCTCTTGGTGCTTGCATGGATTCGTTAGAAGAGTTTGAAGAAGCAACTCCATTTATAGGCTCTATGTCTTTAGAAGGACACCAACCTTTTTTTCCAATTGCTGAAATTCTATCAAATAATTATTTCATCTCATCTCGAAAATTACAAACCAACAAAACGAAATTGTTTTGCGTTATTATTATTTTTTTACATAAATATATCAAATCAATAATAAGATTAATTGTTTTAAGCTCCCTCTATTTTTTTCAAGAATACTCACTTGTTCAATGCATGTATCTAATTTTTTTTTTACTATTTTGGAGTCCTTCCAATTAGCTCTAGCACTATCTTCGGAGGCTATTCTTATACATAATAAAATGATTATACCAAAAACCACATTACTACAATCTTAGAACTCAAAATTACATCACAAAAACCACCTTAACACATTTTAAAAAATAATCAAACTAAGGTCCTAAAAACATAAAAGCAACCGAACAATATATAACCATTCAAACATGTACAGAATAAAAACTATCCCCTAAAACTAGAGAGAGCTAATTAATATTACTGCTAAATAATGAGTGATAATCGCTAACACACGATGGCAAGGCCAAATGGTAAGAAAATCCCCTCCCTCTCCACATCACAAAAACTAAAATCTTTGCAAGGAACCGTGTGATTATAGGCTTTCATTGATTAGGTTCATCTTTTTGGCCAACTGGAACTAAAACTAAAACCCACCACAAGGATTAATTGACCTTTTTTTGTCATATTTATAGGCACCGAACAACATTTCTTCTACTTGATATGTGTCTTGGACTCTCTGCCACTCTTATTTATGAAGATGAAGAAGAAGTATAGCTTGGATGACCACACCTAACAAATTTGGATACTGAAAAAAAAAAAAACACTGCTGAGGCATTTAAAAAATTTAACATATCCAAACACGTACCTGTAAGCCATTGGTAGACAAAACTTTATGACAAGCTTACATTATACCTAACAAATAATGTTCGTTAATAGGTCATGGCTTGTTACATTCCCACTAAAGTTCATTATGGTGCTGGGCGGGTTAATATCTCTGAGCCCTACTTTCGAACATCTATGCATGAAATGGTCAAGATTCAAACCTATAACGTATCTATTAGCCATGGTGTGAATGTCAACAAGCAATGCTCCCTATACTGTGCATTAATTAAAATACACCAAATGCCCCTTGGAAGTAACGATTATAATCCTTTTAATACTGGCCATATCCTAAATTAAGCATTTGTAGTTGCATTGATCAAGCTTGAATCACCTACATAAAACAAATTCAGTGTAAGCAGCCCTTCCATATTTTTTACTATCATATCTAACGTTTAAGACTTCTAGGTTATAGTTTTAAATAACGAGACGATTGAAAAAACGATCGCGGTTATCATCGCGTATCGCGATTTATTATAATATTAAAACAATAATAACGAAATGCTTCAAAACCATTACATAACGATAATTATTTAAAACTATGTTCCAGGTGTCTTTCGAAATAAACCCTAAAAGTTTATCATCATATACGACCAGACATGTATGTGGAGGAAACAGTATCAGACACTACTATGATACGAGTACATAGTTAAAAAAAATATATGGGTAGAAACTCCAGGAAAGGGATCGTGTCTGGTGTGAATGTGGACTTTCTTTCGATCACTATAAGCATGCTTGAGGTCTGTTTAATTCATGACAAAGTCATTGCCTAATTTGAGTGAGGACACCTAGATCAGCCATCATTCGAACGACAAACACAAGCAGACTATCATTTTTCTTTTGATCCTAGCTGGTACATATCGTTCTTCTACTCGCGAAACAGGACGTATCTATCCAGGCTAAACCCCTGCTTACATCGCTGCTCCTCTAAAAACAGATTGAAATGGCAATTCTCTACTCAAATCTCACAAACTGATTGAAGGTGAGTCTAATTCTTTTATTCTATTCATGGCCTAATCCAAACGACCATTGCCATGCCTTTATTGGAGCGCTCAAAATATCCAATTTTCAATCTAAAGGTTTACACAGAACATACAAGCTTAAACTCCTTAACCTAATTGTTTGCCTTGAACCCAAGAGTTTAATGGCATAACATAGCACAACAAAACACATGCAGAAAGAAGCACATAAAATCACCTTTCCTACAAATAGTTGCTTCTTAGACTCAGTGGCTAGCGACTCTCCTAAATAAAATCTATCCTAGGCATGAGCAAAACAGAGGAGTGGGACCTCCAGGAAACCTCTCACAGGACCTTTAAAAAATGAAAGCATGATTTCTTTGGCTTGTTCCTCTTCCTCTCTCTGCCTGTGTGATTTATTGATGCAGATGTATATAAAATTTCATTACTTGATGAACTTTCAATTGGGTTTTGAGACGCCATCCTAAAAGCCAATCTAGGATTATCGGATTGACTTTTACAACACTATTATATAGAACGGGTAAACTAGGCAAATCTTGAGTATTATTTAGTATTCTTGGTGATGGGATCAATAAAGGCCTCCCTGTGGCCATGAAATAAAGCTAAAACAACTCTCCACCAACATAATACTTGCTCTCATCTCTCTCAACCAAAAATCATATAAGAAACAACAGACAACCAATACCAACAACAGCAGAAACAATAAAGATTTAAACTTTAATCAAAACTTAGAAATTAAAATAGCTTAATTTAGTAAACAGTTTAATTTATAAAAAGAATTAATCTTTTTCTAAAAAATGATCAAGATATTAATAGATACGAAGAAAAATCATTTATAATGGAATAGAAGAAAAATCACCTACAATGGGAGTAGACCTTGACATTTCGGATTCCTAATAGCTTATTGACGATGATAGGATGGAAGCACTAATAATAGAGAAAGTCTCTTTTATTTTGATAATCGAGATAGCAGAAATTGTTTTTCAATTGGTTTGTGTAACTAAAGTTATAAGAATATACGAGAGCTATATAATCATATTTAAAAAAATTTAAAAGTTTTTTTTAACTAAACTTGTTAATAAAAAAATAATAAATAATAAATTTTAATTTATTCAATTAAATAGATTTTGATTGAATTTAAATTTTAAATATGAAATTATTTAAATTATTAAATAAATTTTTTATGTTAATTACTTCAATTTAATTTTTATAGTTATTAAAATAGGTTATCAAATTCACATAGAAACACTCCACTCCCTGATCCTTCTAAACCAACCTCCTCCCCCATGAGCCCATTAGATCCTCCCTCCTCTCCCTCTCTTTCCCATCGACACCAGCCTCCTCCTCCCTAGTCTGCTTCTCATTTAACCATAACTATCTAACCTCCGTCACCTTTTGCCGGCACTAGCCCGAAAATGCTCCGTAACCGCCGCCGTCCTCGTTACAGCCCACAAATCTGCGCCGTTATCTCCGCTCTCCTACTCCTCTTCTCAGTCTCTCTCCTTTACACTCGCCTCTCTTCTTCTCATCAACACAATACGGTTCCTTCCGCATTCAAAACCCAAGCTGACGACGCCTCAATAGCAATTGACAAGATCGATGAACAAGACACCATTAAAGAAGAAGAGGGAGAAGATCACCAAAACGACAGGAATGAAGACAACGACACCGACGAAGAAGAAACGAAAAGGCCCACGATTTCCTCTTCTGGGTATTACATGGATCATGTAACGGGGTCAATACGAAGGCATTTGAAAAAGAAATCGATAGAAGATTATGATTTTTTTGATTATAATTACAACGGTTTTAGTCTAGGATTGAATGTCGATGATTATAAAAGTAAGACCGCGTTTGGTAGTGATGATATCGTTGTTGATGAGGAAATTAAGAGAAAATTGAGCGAAGTTAAGAGTATCGAAGATGCATTGCTGTTGAAGATAGGTAAAAAGGTGTCACCTTTAAGAGAAGGGTGGGGTGATTGGTTTGATAAAAAGAGTGATTTTTTGAGAAGGGATAAAATGTTTAAGTCGAATTTTGAAGTTTTGAATCCATTGACTAATCCTTTGTTGCAAGACCCAGATGGGGTTGGTGTTACTGGGTTGACTAGAGGTGATAAGGTTTTGCAGAAGATGATTTTGAGCGGGTTTAAGAGAAACCCTTTTCGGGGGAAGAGGAGTTTGAGTGGTTTGGAGATGACCCGTGATGCAAAAGTGGAAGAGAAGAGGGGCGAGGTTAAGAGAGTATTGAATGAGGATAATGGGAAAATTTTGATGGATGGTGTTAGTAATGCTGGTAAGGACGTGAGTTTTAAAGGAAATGGGATTGTACTGAATGAGGATCATGAGAGAAATTTAATGAAAGGTAAGAGCTTGAGTGATTTATCGGATGCGGAGGGAGTTCACGATTATAAGGGGGATAGGGATAGGAATTTGAGTGCAAATGAGAATTTAATGGATAATGGTGATGGTAGTGGTGGTGAAACAAGGCAGATGGTTGGAATGGAGAAAAAGAGGTCTAAGGATCAGCAGAGGAAGCCTGAGGAGTTGAGTCATATGTTTGCCGATGGGAAAAGATGGGGGTACTTTCCTGGTTTGCATCCTCATTTGTCATTTTCGGATTTCATGGATTCTTTTTTAGGAACGGGAAGTGTGATATGAGGGTATTTTTGGTGTGGAATTCGCCGCCATGGATGCATAGTGTTAGATACCAAAGGGGACTTGAGAGTCTGCTTTCCCACCATAGACATGCTTGTGTCGTCGTTTTCTCTGAGACAATTGAGCTGGATTTTTTCAAGGATAGCTTTGTGAAAGATGGGTAAGCTCTTACTTAGGCCTTGTTTCTGAATTCAGTCGTTGATTTGTAATCTAATTATCAATTGTGGTGATCAATGCAACTATTTTCTGTATAGTTACAAGGTTGCTGTTGCCATGCCAAATCTTGACGAATTGCTGAAGGATACACCCACCCATATTTTCGCTACAGTTTGGTTTCAGTGGCGAAAGACGAAGTTCTATCCTACTCATTATAGTGAACTGGTCCGCCTTGCTGCTCTCTACAAGTAAGCTTGCTTCTGGAAAAAATACCTTCTCTTATTGGCAAGTCAAATCACATGTATGATTAGAATGATGCAACAGCTTGTTGGTTCCCATGTGAATCTCATTCATGCACTGTACTTTGAGACGTTGAAAATATATAGCTTATGTCTTCAAGTGCTAAATCTCAAAATGTTGTTATTTTGATGCTGGCTCTTGAACTGGAAACCATGTATTAGTTAATATCCTCGTCACTCGAGTTGAAAAGTATATTTATTTTATATTCCAGATGATGGTTCTGAAATGTAACCATTTCTTACTGTTGTTATGTTTTCAATCAATTTTTTGTAATTTGTTTTTTTGTTGGGTTGTGCAGATACGGTGGTATATATCTTGATTCTGATATCATAGTTTTAAATTCACTGTCTTCACTCAATAATACTGTTGGTCTGGAGAATCCACTAGCTGGAAGTTCTTTGAATGGGGCGGTGATGGCATTTAGAAAGCACAGGTACTACTGGCATTTGCGTTTTACTTTCAGAAATGATATCTATTGTTGAAATTTTTCGGGTTAGGTTTGGACTCAAAACTTTATTTGAATTTAATATAGTAAATTCATGGGTATTATCTTTTATAGATGAATGGTTTAGCTTCCAAGCTCTGTCTTCCTCCCTCTTCCATTTAATTATCTAAATTCCTCCTTTTCCCATGTCATTTAACTGCTGAGATCTTTCATCTATTCTCTGCTTCCTCTTGCCTTGAATTGCTAAACTCATTCTTAATATGTTGATCAGGGATTTTGAATAAATTTTAGCAAATTGACTGCAAATACGTCTCTTCTCAGTATTCTTTCTACAACGCTGGCTTTCCTAGTTTTTCCAATCTGCCCCCCTTTGGAGAATGAAGAACGACGATGGGAATTATATTTACTTATTTAGGAATTTTAATAGTATATGATTATTCTAGATTTATTATTTAGGAATTTTAATGTTATATGATTATTCTAGATTTATTATTTAGTAGTTAAACTAGGATTTTAGTTTTCTTATGGAATTAAGACTTATTAGGGATTCCTATTTTGTTTGTTTAGGTGAATATAAATAAGTGCCTAGACATTAGTTATTGGAAGAACACATTGTTATTGATTAAAATAAAGACTTTGGATATTCTCCAAGATTGAGTGTGTCTCTCTTGTCCTGAATCCCCAAGATCGAGTGTCTCTCTCTTGGTTTGGTCCCTTCAAGATAAAGTGCATCTCTCTTGTTGGTGATTTTAGTTCTGTTTAAAATTGGCTCTCTTTTGGTGATCTTGTTAGTTGGTTCTACATCAACCCCCCACACCCAAAAAAAAGAAAAGAAATCATAATGTGTCATTATCAGTTTGCTATGATTTTTCATTTGCTTTCTAGAATGGGTTTATTAACACTTCCAAATGCTAGCATGTCTCGGTTATAGTTTCATTGAATGAGCGTGGAGCAAGTAGCAACGTTACAGTTCTTTTTTTTTTTTTTTGGGCATTTATCTCACGTCTGGAATTGATGTTTACTTCTCTCCATGCAGTCCGTTTATAATTGAGTGTTTGAATGAGTTCTATATGACTTATGATGATACTCGTTTGAGATGGAACGGGGCTGATCTTTTGACGAGAGTTGCAAGAAATTTTTTGAGTAAGGAGAATAAGTCCATTAATCAGTGGGAGTTGAAAGTGCAACCCTCTTATGTGTTCTTCCCCATTAGTTCACAGAATATTACCAGGTATTCTCCAAATTTTTTATTCATTTCTGTACATGCAGTTTACTCTTTTTTGAGCATTTAAATAGGCTTTTTTTTTTTTTTTTTGGCCGATCACACATGCATTGGTAAGTAGGGCAAAATGTTGCTTTTTGTGAGTTCATTGTAACATATTGTGGAAACTTTAGGGTTCTGGATCCAATTCCATTTCCCCTAAACTTCATGTATTCATATTGAAAAACTAAAAGAAAATCTTAGAGATGACTCTTGAAGCTGAACTGCAAATTGTAATGACTGTGAGGTGCAGAAATCTCTGTTGTAGGTCTGTGGGCTGACTTGCTGTTGCATTTAAATTAAAGCACCTTGCCTCATCTTATGTGATAAAATGTCCCCAAGTTCTGATTTATATTTTGGTTTAAACAGAGTATAGTTGTATTATAGGCATACCTCCTTTCCCTAAAGGAAGGGAAAGAACTAAACCAGAGGATTTCTTGCTGTTTAACTTCACATGTTTCTCTCTCACTACTAGTGACTGTGTTTTCTCTCCTAGATAAATTGAGGCTTCAAGTAAACAAATTTGTTGGGCCAGATTATGATTAAAAACTTGGTGTGTTTCAGTCTTGTCTTTGAGACAACTGAAACCGAGGTTTTGGTTTCGAATTTGGGTGGATAAGGATAAATTTTAGTGTCTGGGATTGAGAATTTGGTGCTGAAATTCTTGTTGTAAATTGCAGAAAATAGTTAGGCTGGAAATTTAAGATAAATTCTAGTGAATGCATCCTCCCAAAATACACTCTGTCTGCTGGATTCTCAATGTTCATTTTACAGTTTGACAAGATAACTTTTCCTTCCTTCACTTGCATTACTTTTATTTTTGGCTAATGCAATTTGCATGTACTCATTATTTATCTGGTTTATGATGGCTTTGTATATACTTGATATCTCATATTTTAGCATTTTAAGAGTAAAAAGCATCAACATATCTGCTGCTTAAAAAAATTCTTTTATTTTACCTCATTTGGGCCTTAATTAATTCTAATTGCAAACAGATACTTGACCACTCCGGCAAATGAGAATGAAAAAGCTCACCAAGATGCTCTCTTTGAAAAGATTCTCAGTGAGTCGTTGACATTTCATTTTTGGAATAGCTTGACATCTACTCTCACTCCAGAGCCAGAGAGTCTCGTCTCCCGGCTTATTGATCGCTCCTGTATCCATTGCTTTGACGTATTGTGAATTATACAAGTCAATTTTTTACAAAACTTTGTTGAGTAGGATGAGCTATATATAGAAGCATTTTGATTTATCAAAGCATATCAAATTGCTAAGGAAAATACCCAACATCTAGCCATCATATAGATTTGAGGTTCAAGAAATGATACTGATTCATGTAGCTGTACAGAGAGTTTTGTAAATGATAGTTTGAGGTATGTCATTGACATTTATTTTCGATCTTCTGTATTATTTACACAACTTGTCACATTTTCTACCGACTTGCAATAAAACTATTTTGTAGCTTGCTTCTTGGCGATGCATGCTCTCTGTTTGGATCCGTGTTACATATACTATTTTATAATCAAATTGTTTTGTTTTCCGAGTTGAGTTATATGAGATTAAGCACATTTTGGCTTCACCTTCCATAGATTGGTCAGTGGATGAGGAAGCAGATTGAATCCGTGATTGAGCCCTTCGTTAAACTGCGAAAATCAACCAGGGATTATTCGATCTTCATTGGAATGGCAATTACAAATCAGTGGAGAAGGCGCAGATTGACCATATGCTCCCTGGATGATGCCTTCAGATGAGGCCCAACATTCTAAAATCAAAGAAACGTGCTATGGTTCCTTCAAGGCTAAACAATGCCTTAAAAGAGCGTTACATTTTTATATCCCTGTTTCGTACAAATTATTAAGTAGCTACGCATCCATGAATCCCAAGGCCTCTGATAAGCCAATATCTACCAACAAAGCAGGTCATTCAGTCATCACCTTGCTCATCAGATTCCCATGCATGTCCTTCACTCAAGCCTCATCTTGCCTTTCCAGATATCAAAAGCAAGAGGCAGCCGAAGAAATTATAGGAAATCATGCACATTAGCACACTCTAATCAATGGCATTGGGCCCAAAGCATCTCCTTTTCACAGGGTTCCATACCCATTGCACCAGGAACCTCCTCCCTTTAACTCCATTCAGATTGTAGCCATCTCCCCAAGCATCTTTATACACTTTCCCTACATACCCTCCACCCCCACCAGTCCCATACACGCCCAGGCACAAATCCGCTATTTCGGCCGGCGAGGTAGGGTCATCTCCGGCGTACCATGCATTAATAAGTGGATTACTTGACACTTCTGCTAACTCATGAGCAAGCACACTGATCATTCCATCTACACCAGCATCCCCATTTGGGGCTCTCATTATGTTATTGCCTCCATTAGTGCTTGGTGGTGGCTTCCCTGAATACTTAGGCCATGCAAATGGATAAGCACACATACCAGGACATTGAGTTCCACTATAACCAACCCAAGCATAAGGCACAGTGACCCCAACTACGGTCGGAAATGTGAAGTAGTGAAAACCACAGACTGCTCTACAGAAATCTTGAACTTGAACATCACCGGAAGTTAGCACCAAGTAGAGACCATTGTGAGGATTGAGAGGTAAAGATCTTGGATGGGCAGTGACAGCAGATTTGATGATAGATTGCATTGCTAAACGACTTAGATAACCACCATGAGAGTATCTAGAGTCATAGAACTCCCCTGAGAGGACAATGTTTCCAGTGACATTTGATCCTGTTTGGTCTGTATAGAGACGGACTGTTCTCCACCAATCAGAAACAGAAGGGTAAGGGGATGACGAAGAGAGGGAATAGATGAAATCTCTAATAGTAGCTTGGTGGTTTTGGTTCCAATGACCATACCAGATAATGTACAAGTTGACAGGTGCAGCCAGAACAGGCCCCATGTGGTACTGAAGGTCCGCTAGATCAGAGGAGCCCTCGTAGTTCTTGGCTTGGTCGAATAGGCTGTCTTGGTTCCATGAAAAAGCCAAATAAGACAAACAAAACAGAGAAAGCAAGAGGACAAGGTATTGCAAAAGCTTCTTATGCATTCTGTTCTTTGCCAAATATACTCTGGAAATCTCAGAAGTTACGACAAAAAATTGCTCTTTGGTCTTTGGTTTAGTGGGTTATGACAGTTGATGAAAGTTCTTATATAAAAGATCAGAAGGTCTATGGAGGGGGAAGAAGAGTAGGTGATTTGTTGAGATTCTTCTTTTATTATTTCCTTGTGGTGGACGGTGGTTTGCATGTTTACATAATTCTTCATCTTCATCATTGTCTACTTTTTGATGATGACTACATTTCTCCTTTATTGTTTCTTACTCTCTATTAAATAAAAGTGTTAGTTAGGCTAACAAACCACATAATGTATTTTCTTACGTAATAGCTTAATCATTAAAAAAAAATATCTCTAGCATGGAGAGAGATTATAAATGATAAGTAAACAGAGTGGCTAGTTTAATTAGAAAATTCATTAGGTGTATAGCATTCAAAGTGACTTGAATTCACATAACTAATGGGGTTGGAGGCCGAATCAAGAGAGAAACAAGACTCTGCCATCATATAGGTCAAAACTCAGTACATCTACTTAAATGTAAGAAAATGAACGATGATTAATACTCTGATCATGAGCAAGAATATCTGATCTTTAACTAGAAATAAAATGCAAGACAACCACCGTGATTCATGAAGAATGCATTTGGAATAAAAACCTCTACTTAATTTGGGTTGTGATCCCAAGTAGTGATTAGTATTGTAGCATAAAATTTGGGCAGTTAAGTAAAAGAAATGATGGTTGTTTCCTCCTTTTTGAATTACATTTCTTCTCTTTCAAGATCTTTGACTCTCTATATTAGTTTATGCATATTGTTATATGGACAGATATCGCATAAAATTTTCTTGAAAGATAGGTCAAGTAGCAACGTGTGGAAGAAGAGAATGGTACGTGAGCTGCCTCTTCTTCGTTCATCCTCAAACTCATATAGAGGTTAGGGAGGTTTTGTTCGGATGGGACTTACTCGTGATCATGTCATTTGGGATTTGAATTTTAGTAAAAGTTGAGACAAAAAAAAAAAAAAATCTGATAAATGCATCAATCCAATGTTGAGGCTTGATTAAAAACTGAATAAGGAAAAACTCTCTTAATGTGCAACAATCAGTCACATTAGTTGAATCTGGTGGGGAAAAAAAAAAAAAAATTCTTGTAATCATGGAAAGGTGGAAGGTGCATGTGATGGTTGAAGCATCTTCAACTCCTTGCCCTTAATGATAGCAGCCATGGGCAGAGTAGCTACAAACTATGAATTAGAAGTAACCATTTGTCCTGGTCAACCTTCTGGAATGAGATTTTCAATGCCTACTTTCAGAGACAAGATATTTGGGTTTCAATGATCACCAAGAAATCAGGCGCATTTTTTGCTAATTGATTTTTTCAACTGCAATAGTTATGACTCATTGCAAGGGGCACCTTTTCTTGCAGTGGAATTGAGCACACAATTACTGCAGACTTTATTAAAGTTAAAAACGTGTACACATTTCAGTTTAGTCCTCAGATTTATTAATAAATCCATGTAAGTAATGAACAAACACAGTAGGGTCTGGGCCTAGCATCTGCTAGCTTTAACTTCTCTTTATTTCTTATTCATTTGCAAATACTACCAGATAAATTGACTTTGTGCCTGCGCCGTTGCACTTGGAATATGATGGATCAGGAAAAAAAAAAAAAAAAGGTCGCGGCCCAAGTTTTTGAAATGATTAGCCCAAAATAGCTCAAAGCATTTCTTTACTTTTTTTGGTTAGCGATTTTTGTACTGAGGAAGAATTATTGAACTTGAAATTAAATTTTTAATTTTCAAGTTTCAACAACAAATTAGAATTATTTGTAATAAAAGAATTCAAATATAAGATCCAAACCAACAGTAAATAAAAATGAGTTCAGTCCAATTATATATATATATATATATATGATGATTAATACAATATTAAATTAAATCCAGACTTACAAATTATTTAAGATAATCTGATCAAATTCAGCCAAACCAAAATAAATAACACACTCAAAAAAATAAAATCATACGAGATCAAAAGAATCAATTCTGAAGTAGTCGTTCAAGATCTTCCAACTTCAAGCTGTCCAATAAAAAAAAACAAAAGCAAACATATCAATTTTTTTTTCAAAATTTATTTATTTAAATTTAGTTTAAAAAAAGATGGAAACAATAAACTAGAAGGATGATATTAAGATAGAAATTGAAAAAAAGGAAAAAGTTAACAAATGTTAGTCTAAAAGTTAAATGAACGAGATTAAAAAGAAACCAAAAGGTAAAGAAAGAATTTAAGACAAAAATAGTAAAAAAAAAAAAAAAAAAGGGAGTAAAATAAACCATTAGCCCAATCATCAAGCGTTAAGAAGTAAAATTAGTATAAGAATTTACCCGTGGGATAAATATGAATATTTGGGATGTGAGAAATCTTGTGCCAGTCTTCACCCATCTCCTCCTTCTTGTAACGTTTCCTTAGAATGGGGCAGTGTCGGATCACCAATCTCTGTAATGATGTTGTCAAAACATAGTCCGGCAGAGCTCTCAACATTGGACAGTTAGAAATGTCCAATTCTTGAAGTTGTGGCATTATGATTGAAGTTGTAGCATCTTTTTCTCCCACTCTCCTTTCTATCCAATCATCCCACTCTTCTAATTCTTCCATATACCAAATTATGAGTTCTTTCAATTTGGGAAAAGCAGGGACCCTTGCCAGTTCTCCTTCATTGATATAAGCCTTGTCAACATTTTCTATGCCTAAAAATCCAACATCCAACCTTCTCTGCTTCAGCCCCATCAATTCTAGGTATTCAAGGTTGGGCAGTCTTCCCAAAGGAGGCAAAACCTCAAAGTTTCCACAATCAACGAGTTCAAGCTTTGTTAATCTGGTTAATGACATAATCCAATTGGGCAAAAAGATCCCGCTGTAGTCCCCTATTTGTAGAACATCCAGGTCTGATGGCGGTTGCAACGCTTCAATTAAAGCTTCCTCATTTTCTCGCAACTCTGTTTTCTCCCCATCAAACCACAATGCCAACCGCTGCAGGTGCTTCTTATTCTTCAGTTCTGCTTTCTCAGCTTCACTCACATCTACCATATTTCCTAGTTTCTCAATCCAAAGACTTCCTCTAAGCTGGTTTAAGTTTTTCAATTCTTCAAGATTGGCTGTTGTACTTTCATTCTCACCACCACTGCACACCCTGAAACAATCTAATGTTCGAAGAGAACTTAACCTCTCTATTCCCTTGGGTATGAAAGCTACTCCTGAATAATCAATCATCAGATGCCTCAATTTGGTAAGTTTTCCAGTTGCCTGGGGTAATTCCTTTAGAGAGTCACACCAAGAAACATCTAGGGATTGCAGATTACATAAATCACATATGGTTTCTGGTAGTGACTTCAATTCACCACATTCTGACAAATCGAGGTATCTCAAATGTATCAATTTCACTACCTCAATTGGTATTTCTTGGATTGAAGAACGTGACAAATCCAATGACCTGAGGCATGTCAACTGCTTGAATAAATCAGGTAGTGTGGCTCCAAGGGAAGGATTTGTAGCGTTGATCATCAAGAGGCTGCGAAGATTCTTTGCTTTGTAAATGGATACAGGAAAATGTTCTTCTGATGAAAGCTCCACAGTTGAGTGACGAACTCTTTCGTAAGAAGTGGCTGTGTATGATTCTTCAAGGTCATTGCC